AACATTAAATGTACTGAGAAAGGAATTAGGGAAACCACACGTTTTACAATAACATCCAAAAAACTGAAATACTTAGGAATCAATCTAACAAAGAAAGTAAAAGATCTATATATTGAAAATTAAGTACTCAGGGGACCTGGGGAGATAATAAGTGCTTGCCTGACAAGCTCAAGGTCCTGAGTTCAATCCCTGGTACCACCAAGAAAAAAAAAAAGAAAAATATTCTGAAAAAGGAGATGAAAGAGGAAAATAGAAAGTAGAAAGGTAATCCTTACTCATGGGTAGTAAGAACCAACATTGTGAAAATGGCCATACTCCCAAAATTGTTATATAGATTTAATGCAATCCTAATGAAAATAGCATTAGCATACCTTACAGACCTAGAGAAAACATTCCTAAAATTCATTTGGAAAAATAAATGGCTTAGAACAGCAAAAACAATCCTGGCAAGGCCAGAGACATCACAAGCCCCCACTTAAAATTGTACTACAAAGCTATTGTGCTAAAAATAGCTTGGTACTGGCAAAATAATCAAAACAACAACAACAAAAAGACCTGAATATCAGTGGAACAGATTAGAAGATGCACAAACAACTCCAAACATACATACTCAGCCACCTTATCTTTGACGAAGAGGCCAAGCACTTGTATTGGAAGAAAGCTTCTTCAATAAATGGTGCTGGAAAAGCTGGCTTTTCACATGCCAACATTAAAACTAGACTCTAGTCTAAAAATAGACCCTATATCCATGTCTCTCACCATGCACTAAACTAAAAATCAAAATGCATCAAAGATTTAAGTATTAAATACAAAATATGATGACAGAGAGAATAGGTAAAAACTTTTGAAGAAATAGGTATAGGCAAAGATTTAATGAATAAAATCTCAATTGCCTAGGAACTATCACAAAAAACCTTGGATCTCATCCTTTTAAAAAGCTTTTTCACAGAAATTCTAATGTATCTTTCACTAAGTAGGTGAAAAGACACCTTAGAGTGGGAAAAAAAATTAGCCAATTGTTCCTGAGACGAAGGACTAACATCGAGAACATGTAAAGAATTTAAGAAAAAAAAATCAGATCTCTCAAATTTAAAGACCCAATCCCAAAATGACCGTATGCGAAGCACATCCTCTTCTCAAAGGAAAAAATACAAATGACAAATACATGAAAAAATGTTCAACATTACTGGTCATTTGAGAGATGCAAATTAAGACATTTCTGAGAGTCCATCTCACCTAGAAAGAATGAATATTATCAAGAAATTAACAAATGACAAGTGTTGCAGGGGCTGTGGGGGAAAAGGAATACTTTTTCACTGCTGATAAGAACACTGTGGAAATCAGCATAGAGGCTCCTCAAAAAACTAGGGTTAGAGGTACCATTTGATCCAGCCATTCTTTCTGGGTATCTTCCTAGAATTAAAAACATCATAGTAGGGCCGGCCAAATAGCTCAGCTAATTAAGCACCTGCAAGCAGGCACTGTGTCCAGGGGTTCGATCCCCCAGGCCTGTTGTACTGGCCCTGCTCCTGGGGTGCGCTGAGACAGCAATTGAGATTGGGTGTGGTGGCGCACACCTGTAATCCCAGCTCTTGGGAGGCTCTAGGCAGGCGGATCACTATGAGTCTGACCTAGTAGTGAGACCCTGAACACCCTGTAGACCCTTCCCTAAAATACAAAAATAAATACATAAATAAATAAAAACATCATAGTGATATATACACACACCCATGTTCATAGCAGCACAGTTTGTAATAGCTGAATCTTGGAAACAACCCATGTGCCCATCAACCAAGGAAAGGATAAAAAAGACATGTGGTTTCTTTATATAATGGAGTAGTACTCAGCTATAAAGAAGAATAAAATTGAGACATTTCTAGGTAAATGGATGTACCTTGACACCATACGTGTGTGTGTGTGTGTGTGTGTGTGTGTGTGTGTGTGTGTGAGAGAGAGAGAGAGAGAGAGAGAGAGAGAGAGAGAGAGAGACTGGCTCAGCTCACCTTGAAGGCGGGGCCGGCCCAGCAGTGCTGAGGATACTACTGTGATCCCTGTTTAAACAAGAGGTCTGTATCCTGGGTAGAATAAAAAAAAGAAAGCTTTCCCTTTTGCTTCTTACTACTGATCCTACTTAAGTTTTATCCTGGTAGCTACAATGATCACACCCTAAACTGTTTACAGAATTTAAAAGCAATTTCAATTCTAAGCTACAGAGTTTACAAAAATTACAAAGAACGAGAGCGCTCAGACACTGCTGCCTGTGCAAGGAGCTGGCAGCTGCCCCTGCAAATCTAAGGACGCAGAGGTGCAGGCGTTTAAACAAGGCGCTGCCTTTTCATTGGCCAGAAGCTGCTGTTCACTGATTGGTCCTATGAGAACGGGGGCGGTTCCCGAAGTTGCTCATTGGTGGATACAAAAAGTTTAAACTGAGGCAAAAAGGCTGCGCTGGTTTGGCTCCTGCCGAGTGGGGTGTGTTTCGGGTGCTGGCCTCTGAGAAGGAAAGGGGAGACTGCGTTTCTACCTCTCGGGCGGCCTCTGAGGGAAGCGGCCTGCGCGAGGTTCGGGGATCCCGGCGCTTGGGAGCAGCCGCGGGAGCCGGGAGCCGGGGCCCGCCGGGCCGAAGCTGCCATGTCGACCCGGCCGGTGGGGCGGAGCTGCTGGGAGCTGAGCCCGGGAGAGCCGGCGCCGCGGGCCG